ATTTTTTGTGAGAAGTGGTCATTCATTCCGCGACAAACTTAACCTTGAATTTTCCAGGTATATGATCTAGTTAACTGCTTGTATCAGGGCAAAGCCCTGTCTTTCCGACATCGTTTTAGTTTCTACGGAATAATTTGAAATAACACAATTGATGAAATCTCGAAAGAAAACTGAAAAAATTTTCAGTTGATGGTTTTGATGGTTTTTCTGAAAATGATCTCCCAACACGCTTTGTAAATACAAATTGAGATATTTTTTATGTAGCAAAGTATAAATAGACCAAGGAGCATGCCTCAATTCAATTTGAAACGATTTCTATGACAGATTAAATCTCCGCTGACGAGTAAATAACACAAATTATGTCGCGCATTAATTGTCCCACACAGCCCAAAATGGCGGTTTTAGGCTAAGTGGCGTGTGGGAATGGCGGTTTTAGACCCCCATAACCTCACAAAAAAACGATTGCAGGTGAAGTACGTTTTGTTCCAACTTTCGTAACGAAAGTAACGGAATATTTGGGCTCGAGGTGGGTTTTTTTTCTGCAGACAATATTCGACTTTTTAACTAGCCATTTTTTCACATCATTCGAAAGGTATTGTTATCCTGAGCTCAAATTTGAAAAGATATTACACCTGTGATCATTTTTTGTAAAATTATGGGGGTTTAAAGATTGGCATTTTGGCCAATTTGGGACAATTAACGCGCGATATATTTCGCGCTATTAACGCGTAAGCGGAGAGTTAATCAGTCTTAGAAATCGTTCCAAATTGGTTGAAAGAAACTTATTTGCCATAATTGATTTGTTACAAGGAGCGAAATTCATATTTTAGTACTTTATATGGCGTGTGGGGTGATGATATTTATAAAAAATTTCAAACTTTAGAAAATAAAATTTCATTTTGTTTTATTACATATAATTTTTTAATGTTATTACTGCTCCATAAACCTTAAGAGGCACTCGGAACATTCAGGGCTTCGCCCTGATACGAGCAGTCTTGTTAGTTGTTTCATTCTGCCCTGAGGAGCGCGCTTATTTGTTAGCTAGTAGAACCTGAACCCCTTTGGTTATACTGTTAAACAGAAGTAGGGTAATAATCAATTCCAGTCACACGCCCAAGGATTATGCCAGAGTTTTTCAGATAAAAGTATTCAAGTTAAGTCAAATAATCTGGTTAATTATTTGAACGGAGGAACCTAGCAATCAGTAGATAAAATCGAAAAAAAATCAAATTTTGCAGAAAGTTTGTTTGAATTGTTTTTTGAGAAGTGGTCATTCATTCCGCGACAAACTTAATTTGAATTTTCCAGGTATATGATCTAGTTAACTGCTTGTATCAGGGCAAAGCCCTGTCTTTCCGACATCGTTTTAGTTTCTACGGAATAATTTGAAATAAAACAATTGATGAAATTCTCGAAAGAAAACTGAAAAAATTTTCAGTTGATGGTTTTGATGGTTTTTCTGAAAATGATCTCCCAACACGCTTTGTAAAATACAAATTGAGATATTTTTTATGTAGCAAAGTATAAATAGACCAAGGAGCATGCCTCAATTCAATTTGAAACGATTTCTATGACAGATTAAATCTCCGCTGACGAGTAAATAACACAAATTATGTCGCGCATTAATTGTCCCCCACAGCCCAAAATGGCGGTTTTAGGCTAAGTGGCGTGTGGGAATGGCGGTTTTAGACCCCCATAACTTCACAAAAAAACGATTGCAGGTGAAGTACGTTTTGTTCCAACTTTCGTAACGAAAGTAACGGAATATTTGTGCTCGAGGTGGGTTTTTTTTCTGCAGACAATATTCGACTTTTTAACTAGCGATTTTCGACAAAACTTCTTCATATCATTCAAAAAGTATTTTTGTCTTGAGCCTAAATTTGAAAAAAAAACATTTCGCCTGTGACCATTTTTGTTAAGTTATGGGGGTTTAAATTTTGGCATTCTGGCCAATTTGGGACAATTAACGCGCCATATTTTTCGCGTTATTAACGCGTAAGCGGAGATTTATTCCATCTTAGAAATCGTTCCAATTTGGTTAAAGGAAGGTTATTTGCCCTAATTGATTTGTTACTAGGAGGGAAATCTATCACTTTGTATATATATGGCGTGTGAGGTGATGTTTTTTGCAAATATCTCAAATTTGAAAAAAAAAATTCTTACATTTAATTTTTCATGTTGTTAATGCTCCATAGACCTTAAAAGTCAGTCGCAAAAGTATGGACTTCGCCCTGATACAAGCAGTCTTATTTAAGTATGAGCTCAGAGCAAAAGCTTCGTTTCAAAAGTTAGATAAAGATTTTCGTCGAAACAGGATAGTGAGAAAGTCGAAATTCGGAACAAAACTCAGTCCGAGCACAGATTCTCCGTCACTTTCTTCAAAAATTGGAACAAAGGCAATCCGTTTGAATTAAGCTGGATCACTCAAGCTTGTTGACCCAATAAATTTTTTGATTGAAATTTTTTGAATAATTAAGAACTGAGCAAACAACACAAAAAAATTCACCATAATAACACTGCAAAAAGTCAGAAAAAGGACAAAGCTTTAGAAAAAAAACGAAAAACAAAAATTCGTTTTTTATTTTTTTTTTTGGTTAATTTCTCTTGCGAGTTGTGTGCCATGAATGCACCGATTTGCTCTGATCGGTGCAAACAACATGAATGCACTGATCAGAGCAAACCTCTAACTATTGCGACTGCTCTATTAGAAATCAAAATTTACAAAAAATGAAAAGGTGAATACCCGATTTTCGAAATATAGAAGAAAAATAATTATTAATGAGACTGGTAAGCGTGTTTAAACAGCTCAAGATTTCTGAGTCTGAATATTTCGCATCAAACGCTACGCGTTCAAAACGAAACAGTAAAAACCGAGCTCAACAAGATATCAAAATGATCAAATTGCCAATTCCAAGACCCGAATATATCACAAAGCAACATTCTTGAATACTCTTTTTTTCCAGGGCATTGATATTTTGTAGATTAAAAAAAATTTCTGAAAGTTTTTTGCTTAAATAATTGTTATCAGGCTTAAGAAAAAGTTGGAGGTTAAATACTCAAATTTGACAACTAATTTGATTTACTAAACAGCGCCCATGAATTATAATTATATTTCCTAGACAAAAACCATTCATTACAATTCATTTCAGATGTAAGCTTCAAACCACAAAATCGGTTATTTTGCCATTCAATTGTTTTTGAGGAAAAAAATTCAATATAATCTAATACAATTGATTATAATCCATTTTCTTTTTAGTTCTAAAGTTGGTGGTTTTTGCAAATAATTTGCAGAAAATTTGCAAAAACTCTATTCTATGAAAGAACAAATATGAAACAATTCTCTTCAATTCGAATTGAAAAGATTTTTTTTGTATTTGTTTTTTGTTGAGTCATAGAATAGACACGATTTCCGACAAAGTTTGCTCCCCCTCCGCCCAGCGAAAAAAAAATCCTTCAAAAGAGCCTGTTTAGGATGATCCAGGTGCAAGGAGTGGACCCCTATGAAGTTGTGAGGTGGGCATGTGTGCTGCTACACTCCCACTTCGCCTTGTTCCTGTCCATATCCTCTTGTGCCAGCCACGCCCTCCTGTCTGGACTGGCCAGGGACAAAAGAGTGCCCCATCTGGCCATCAACCACCACTGTCCCCCTCAACAACAACACTATCACCACTCCTTGGTATGGCGCAACAAAACACGACGCAAATACTTCACGATACCAAAGTTTTGTATAAAGACTATTAATCTACGAGCTAAAGATACGAGAACTAACGTTAATCCCAGTCGAGTTGCGCCACTAAATTCCGCACTGTATTAATCGCGCCCATGATAATTCGACTCTTTTTCCTTACCAAATCCCCCCCCCCTCCCTCCCCACCTCACAAGAGCATCAATTTTTTTGGTGTAATGAGTGGTTTTATACGGTTGATTAGGAACACCAATATGTTTGTCAGTTTTATTCAGCATGTCAATTTGATGACTTAATACCACAAGAAGTAACATTTATATTTCAACAAAGAACAAAAAAGATCACAATATAAAAAATCAAATTTCATGAGAAGCAAAGTTTTGTTATAATGAAACACGTATTCCTTAGTCGTATAGCAAACATGTCTCTTGCACAAGAAGCACATGCTTTTTTAGGTTATTTTTTGCCTCTGATGTTTTAATTATGCAAACACGATAGATGGTGTCTGTCTATCGCTCACATACGTATATGTTCATAAACGGTTTAAAAATAAAAATTGAGTGCAGTTTAACTCCTTAAATTGCTAGCTTAGAAGCAGTTGGCGGAGATCTGGAAAGCAACTTCACTTCTGCAGAAGAAGAAAACCTGACACGAAAGTTGACCTTTTGTGGACTTTAACTCCAAATTAAATATGCGTATTCAATTCAAATTCATTTTGGTCTGATTAATGAGCAGGTTTTTTGTCACCAAAAATACGCTTCACCAGATGGCCCAAAATTACTGATCAAGGGCGTGTGGTGTGCAGGATATTTGGATGGCGGATGTTTTTCTGCAAACTTTCGAGGTCAAATGTTTTCTTTTTGTTATTTTTAAGCTCTGCCGAACCTTAAAATGTCCATGTTTGCCATTTAAGAACTCTTGAAGCTTTAAGAAGACGAGTCGTTCCGTTATACGGCCTAAAATAGATATTTTGACAAATTTGAAAACGGTAATGCAGCCGAGAGAAAAGCTAGAAATCGTTATTATTCCAAAGCTCATTTCACCAAAAATTACAAAAGTGACCAAAAACATTGCTATTTTATCTATTAAATGACCAACTAAACTTTGATGGAAATGGCGCAGTTTTGGCCGGCCTCATTGCGCCCCGAACTCCCAACAAAACTTAAAACGGTTGCATATTATTAGTTTTGTGTTCTGTATATTGTCAGTTATTTTGCTTAATAAAAATTTTTAAGTATGATTTTTCATTTTTGGACCGTATAACGGAACAGACCCTCGAAGACAATATTGTTGACCTAATTGAAGACATTTTCAACTGTAGTCTTTTTGTTTCAAGTTATGGGGGTTCGATACAATAGGAGGCTCTAAATTACTGTGAATCGACGAATCAACAAAAAGAAAGAAAACTGGCGGATCAGATAATTAAACAGAAATTCCGCAATTATTGCATCATTCAATTACCTAATCTCGCATCAATTGAACTTACAGATTTGTATAATAGCAAAACAAAAATTTGAAATAAGCTGATTCTTTTTATGAATCTATAAATTAAGATAAGCTGGTTTTTTTTTATAAATCTTTGTTAATTGAAATAAATTGATTCGTTTTCTGAACCTAAAAATTGAAATAAGCTGGTTTATGATTGTTTTATGAATATTTATCCATCTTTTAATTTTTAGTTTATCATTTCAGCTGAAGAAAGATCAGTTCTATAAATCTACGATCAATTAAAAAACTCGCAGTGAGTTTTCATGTATAATAATCGATTATAATCGATATTTTTGTGGTCAAATGTTTGTATTATAATCGGTTAGAATTACCCTTTGATCCAAGCAATTTTTTATGATCCAATATAATCAAATGTTATAGGAAAAACTAAATCGATTATAATCCATTTAAAAAACATTGTAATGGATTAAATTCTCTATAATCTTTTCCCAAATTTTCTGCAAAATTTTGCACTTTTTTCTGCATTACTTACAGTCTACCTGATTTCTAAACCTACTCACATTTAGTTAAAATTTGCAAAACCATATTCCTCACTTTTTAACCAAGAGTTTCTCAATTTTTACACCAATCCTCCACCCACATTTATCCGCACACCTACAAGCCCCCCACTTGTGCCACTTCACACCCTTGCCCTCATAGCAATCCCTTAAACACAATTTAGCGATTACAAAGTTCTACTTTTGAATATTTTATTTCATGGTTCTTGAAAATCTAGGCTCTTACTCATAAAATTTTTTTTATAATCCACTATAATCTAATGAAATCCATCATAATCCATTATAATCCCTTATAAAGCATTATAACTGATTATAATGGAATAATTTGATTTCTATTTATTGTTCCGACTTTCGATACGAAAGTAACGGAATATTTGTGCTCGGGGTGGGTTTTTTTTTCTTCAGACAAATTTCGACTTTTTAACTAGCCATTTTTGACGGAATTTTTTCTTATCATTCGAAAGGTATTGTTGTCCTGAGCTCAAATTTGAAATTATATTTCACCTGTGATCATTTTTTTGTAAAGTTACGGGGGTTTAAAGATTGCCATTTTGGCCAATTTCGGACAATTAACGCGCGATATTGTTCGCGCTATTAACGCGTAAGCGGAGAGTTAATCCGTCTTAGAAATAGTTCCAAATTGGTTAAAAGAAGCTTATTTGCCATAATTGGTTTGTTACAAGGAGCGAAATCTATCCTTTTGAACTTTATATGGCGTGTGGGGGGATGATTTTCATAAAACATTTCACATTTTAGAAAAAAAAATCTTTTATTTTTTTTCATTGAATTTTTTAATGTTAGTACTGCTCCATAAACCTTAAAAGGCAGTCGGAACATTCAAGGCTTCACCCTGATACGAGCAGTCTTGTTGTTCCGACTTTCGATACGAAAGTAACGGAATATTTGTGCTCGGGGTGGGTTTTTTTTTCTTCAGACAAATTTCGACTTTTTAACTAGCCATTTTTGACGGGATTTTTATATATCATTCAGAAGGTATTGTTGTCCTGAGCTTAAATTTGAAAAGATATTTCACCTGTGATCATTTTTCGTAAAGTTATGAGGGTTTAAAGGTTGCCATTTTGACCAATTTGGGACAATTAACGCGCGATATAATTCACGCTAATAACGAGTAAGCGGAGATTTATTCCGTCTTATAAATCGTTCCAAATTGGTTGAACGAAGCTTATTTGCCATAATTGATTTGTTACAAGGAAGGAAATCTATCCTTTTGTACTTCATATGGCGTGTGGGGGGATGATTTCATAAAAAATTTCAAATTCTAGAAAAAAATTATTTTCATTTTTTTTTATTTAATTTAATTTTTTTAATGTTATTACTGCTGCTCCATAAACCTTAAAAGGCAGTCGGAACATTCAGGGCTTCGCCCTGATACGAGCAGTCTTGTTTGTTTTATAATTGATTGTTCATCCAGATTATCGATTAATTTAAAATTTTATGAAAACAGACCATAAAAATTCATCATAATCGATTGTTATCCATGGAACCTCATTGCGGTAAATATTTTGATCTGCTGATCTGATGAATTATTGATACATCGGTTTACTAGACGCGACCCGCTTAATATATTTTTGCTATTGTACCTTTTTAAAATCGTTTAAGCATCATTCATAGTGTTTTTACAGCATTCATCATTTATTTAAAAAATTTTATCAATTTTTAGAAGTAAAAACTTTTTTTTCAGCTACGCTTGGTGTTGGCCGCTTCATTTTTTTTGTCAGAACTGGTATTTTTGTATGCATGCTCTACTGATTAAATCTCAACAATATGACTATATTTGGAATCCCGCGTCTGTCATGGTTTGAGGCGACCCAGTGTCATCCGCCTCCTCCACGGAATAAAAGGTCCACAGTTGAAAGGTGGGAGTTGGGCTGGGGGTTAATAAGAAACTAGATACGGCCATCGCATGACGAGATCTGACAGATACGCGAACACATATCAATCGTGCATGACCAGATATGCATCAAGCATGACCAGATCATAATGACACATGATCGGATTCGATTGAAAAGTTACCAAAGAGGTCAAAATTTTGGCTTGTTGATTGTTTGCATTTCAAATGATTGACAACGTGTCAGTCAAATCTGGTCATGCATGACGCAGATCTGGTTTTGTTGAAGCCGGGTCTGTTCAGAACTGCTGTTATCCTCGCGCCTCTATGTCACATTGAATTCTGATAAAATCCGACTCAAAATTAAAAACGTATTAAGAATGAGCACATTTGGAAATCTAGGTTCGCGAAAATATAACAGTTCTACGACGATTTTCAGTGGAGCGGTGGTGAAGTGGTTCCGCCTCTAAAGCGAAAAACCGGATGTTCGAGGCCCACCATGATCCGTGCTCGTTGCTTGAGGGTGAATCAACATTACCCATCCCAGAAAAATAACCAAAAAAATAGCATGTAGTGCTTAAACAGGTTACAACAGCGGTTCGCCGTTAGGACCTATACAGCTCTTGTGTTGGTCCTTTCCCCCGTGGATAAATGGTCTTAATCTTAATCTTAATTGATTACTTGTGCATCTCATCATCTTCTCATTCAAGAAAGCTCAAGGAAGCCGGAAACTAATTCTCATATATAGTCAAGCCTGAAAATTAAGTATGGAAAATAATACTGCATTTTTTACAAGTGAAACTTTTTTTGAAAAAAATTTAATAAGAAGCAAAGTTATTTAGTTATCGGATAATTTTTGTCATAACTGAGAAATTTCAAGAACATAATTTAGCCTAAGAAACTTTAGAAGCGGCAAAATCCTGGTCTACTTCAGGGTGCTGATGGGGAAGAGTGGGACAGCAGGGACGGCGGCGGGGGTGGGGAGTTCGACTTCAGCTTCCCCCTTGTAGTGGATACTTCACAGACTGTGGACGTGGCAGTCGCACAGATAGTCAAGTACGCATCACCCCCCCCCCTTAAACAGGCCAAATAAAGAACCTACTATTTATACTAGATTGAATCCGGGTCGAGGTGCTCAATTTATGTTTTAACTTTGTCAACCAAAAATCGATAGACTTCGACCGATTCGACCAAAAATCGGTGTTTCGACTTTCTCGAGCAGAAATAGGTATTTTTCGACCGTCTCGACCAAATTTCGGAATGTTTAGACTTTCTCGACTAAATTTTGGTATGTTTTGACTTTTTCCACCCAACAAAAAAAGCTTTCGACATTGTTCGACCCAGTGTGGGCCTTCTTGTGGCAGTTTTGTTTATGAAGAGCAATAATGCTGGTCTAACTATCTGCACATTAAAAGAAAAAACAGTTATAAAGAATTATTCTGCTATTTGCATCTGTTGTACAGTTGTGCCAGCAGAAACGCGACAAAAATTTCATTTGTATGTCTGTTTTGGAATGTTCGCTCTAAGTTTCGACCGTGTTCGACTTATGTTTCGACTGGGCTTGTCCTATGTTTCGACCGTGCTAGACTAATGTTTCGATTGCGTCTGGCCTATGTTGTGACTCTTCGCGACTCTAATTCGACTTTCTCAACTATCAAAAAACATGAGTAACCTGACAAGATGATTCAACTGAAAAAAAATTGCAAGAATCAGTGATATGCCGAATTCAGTCATCGAAAACTATTTTATACAAATTCAATCTTTCTTTTTGCTTGTAATTTTTAAACAAATCTGGACGGAAACAGATACTTGAGAAAACTTCGGTAAAATTTATTTTTTCTTGCCGCAGGAACCTTTAGGTTTTAAAAGATAAAGAGTTCCCCCTGAAAAAATTTTACTTTCGTGGAAAGCAAAACTCCTAAAATGATTGTTCCTGACTGCAATTTTTTGACGGAGATTTTTTATGGGCAAGTTTTTTTTTGCTCAATTTTCAATTTAAAGTAATTAAAATCTTCAAAAAAAATTGAAAAATTAGGTTGCGCTTGGTCTCTGTTTCTTCTGTGCTCGACCTATTATTCTACATTCTCGACTAAACTTGGATATGTTTCGACTGTGCTTGACTTATGTTTTGACTCTCTCGACTGAAATTGGGTATGTTATGACTTTGTGCTTGACTTAAAATTGCTTCTCGACCGCGGAATTTCAGTCACAAAACTGCACTTGCTCGACCTTCAAACTCGAAAGATAAGTCGAGCACCTCGACCCGGAAAGTTGCGAAGCGCTAGATGTAAAAAGTCTATTCTGATTGGCTTACAAATTATGACCAAGCTAACATCCCCATTGTCCGCTTTAGATGAGACTGTTATAACTTGATTTGGCACTTTTTTAACTCTATGACTGCTAGTGGACTTTATAAGCATACTCTAAATAAGCCGCCATACTATCCATTATACCTTTCCAATTGGGTAATGGTGATGTTGTAGAGTTGAGAAGTGGACTAGTTTTGTGGTGGTGCATGACGAGTGGATCTCCCCCAGCCGAGTGGTGCAATTCATGGCCACAGTCAAGAGACAGATGAAAGACCTCAAGTACACTGTAGTCTACATGGACCACCAGTCCATACTCAACGAGCAACTGCAGGTATTGTTGTTCCGACCGCATCACTGAAAGTAATTGGAGGGAACTATGAATTAGCAACTGTTTTTTCCTCTCAATTTTGACTAATTTAAAGAAAGCTTTAAGGTAGTCAACAGCGGAATCATTTACAGCTGTTGACAGAAAATTTTGCGTGTAATTTTTAAAATTTGCCCGCCAAGATTCCAAAAAACTATCAAAGAAAGGTCTCAGTTTTCTGTGAAAATTTTTGATGCGTATTCTGTTCATTTTTAAATGTTGTTAACTATCCCCCCCCCACCCCCTATTTCGGTTTTCCGAAAATCAACTTTGGCTGCCACATTTTCAGTAGCTTAAAACAATTTTCAGAAAATATATTTAATTAGATTTTTTTTATGTTAGGTACCCGTTATATACGTATATAGATAACGTTATATAGATAAGCTAGTCAAAAGACTTGTGTTTTCTGTACAAAATTGATCTATTTTTTTCTAAGTTTAGAAATAAACAATTTCTGGAAAAATTACCAGAAATCAGTTCACTGCTCAACGGCAATAGCCGTAGCAACACAATGCAAATTAACACTTGTTATAACAAGGGTTGCTTTGCGTTAGGTTGCTAAATTTATCATACGGCTACGGCTATTGCAACAAACTTGCATTGTGCTGCAATAGCCGTAGCAACATAATGCAAAATAACCATATTAACACTTTTTATAACAAGTGTTGCTTTGCATTAGTTTGCTAAAACTATCATACACTATCAAGTCATCTGTTCTTACGGTTAGCACAACCGCCTATAAAATCGCAGATCGGGAGTTCGAGCACCAGCCGGAGACTTTTTCTAGCTATAAATAGCCAATTTAGCAAATTTCTGATCCAAAAAAAGATGAAAAAAAAAAGAATTTAAAAAACTTTTTGCTAAAATTTCACGGAGAATTTCTGACCAGAAAAATAGATTATAAATAAAGCATTCCGTGTCAAAATTAAACAATTTTCTCGGTAAAAGTATTATATAAAATGTGAGTAACACAAATACGAACGCGCGAAAAAGGAATCCGAACTAAACTTGGACTTTTCTAAAATGCATATTTTAGGCAGAAATGAGTGTCAAAACCAGTCATCACGGCAAGCTTTGAAAAGAATTGGGAAGGAACAGGAGAGGTCCAAAAGGCATACCGAGATGCCAAAGTAATCAGCCTTTTCAAGAAGGGCAAAAAGATCAGCCATCAAATTATCGATCGGTTTTTTACCTGATGTTGAAAGACAAGTACTGAGCAAAATACTAAAAAATCGAATTGAGAGACGCACGGACCAAACATTAGACAACCTACAATTCGGATTCAGAAGTAGCAGAAGCACGGTGCAGGCAATTTGGACTCTTCGAAGAAATATCCAACAGGCACGTGAAGCAAAAAAAGCTGATTTTGATCTTTATAGATCTTATTAAGGCCTTTGATTCGTTGGACCGTACAGCACTTTTCACGGCCCTAAGAAGTCGAAAAGTGGGCAACCCTCAGAATTGCATCATTTGGCAGCTGTATGAGCAGGCTGAAGCTGTATTAGACAAGCAGAACACGTTCGTGCTTGAAAGAAGAGTGAGACAGAGCCCACTCTCTTCGGTCCCCCATTCTTCAATCTAGTTTTTGACGAAGTGTGCAAGAAAGTTGTGAAAAGAGGCTCAGAGATCGGTCACTTTGCATATGCTGATGACTTAGTGATTATGTCCGGCTTAATTGAAGAGGCACGCAAAAGTCTTGATGCTCTCAATCAGGAAGTCGAAATTGGAGGGATGGAGATATGATAAAGTAAAACGGAGATGGCTATAGTAAATGAAGAAGGTTCAAATGATAGCTACCTTACTGGCCAAAAATTTGCAGAATGACTCATTGGCGAAGCAAAAACACAGAAATGCAGGAAAGCTAGAACAGCAATTGTGAGACTAGAGGACAGCAAGAGAATTTTCTCAACTACGTTCAAATTGCAGAGAAAGTTCAGTTGAAAAGCATTGAAGTAGAAATAACATCTCTGGCCCAAAGAAGCAAGGTGTGTACAGCAAAGAATGGATCAGGGCTTTAAATCTGGACTTCGAAAGCCTAGGGGTAACGGATAAAGAAAAGTGGCTACAAGACCCAAAACCACTAAATTTTAATCAGGAAATGGATCAGTTAGTTCAGAGAATGGTCGACTCACGCCCTCTAGTAGTCGATTGTGAGTTTGGAAAATGCAGCAGAAAGTTTGCTAAAGAAAGGAGATGCAAAGACGTCTCAGAAACTATCATGATGCTCTAGATGAGTCGGATTTAGATACACTCGACATGGAACCCTTTAGCGTTGATGTACCAAAGGATCTCAAGTGCCCAGCAAAAGGCTGCAAAATGCAATACAAGAAACTCAGGTGAGTGAAAGAGCACATGAAGACCATCCGCAGTGCACTTTGAATGGCGAAGAACAATTAGTTACGGTAGAACGAAAGTCACAAGAACGAAAATCACGAGAAAGAAAGTCTACAGATGAGGAAGAACTAGAGGCGACTGCAGAAAAAGAGATACACCCTGCAAATGACAGGGCGTATGTCAGTGCCCGAAGTGTCCAAGAACTTACAAGGTGCTGAAGAGCTTGCAAACCCTCGCTCCAAGAAGCTTGCGTGGTCTTACAGTCGTCAGACGCTTGTATCGGGGAAGAGAGACTGGAAGCTCTCGTGCTCAAAATCCTTCCACCCGAGATCACCCCTAATCGGGAGTCTAGCTTGCCTACTGCCAACTCCTGAAAGTTCTGTAGACTAAATACCTTAGCAAACTATCAAAGGGAATGGCACCACATGCATAGTGGGAAAATAGTTAACAAGGTCCAAAAGGAGGAGGGAATAGTTAACAAGTTCCTCACTCTTTCTACATGGTAAAACTTTGAGTTTTTTGCGTTTTTCTGCCAAAATTTTTCGAAAATGTTTGGAAAAGTCAAAATTTTAGTCAGATTTTGGTATAAAAATGAGAAAAGAACTGATTGGCTTAGTCAAATTGGCATAGATCGCTTTTGAACAAGAAACCTTGAAAAAAATCAATTTTCGAGAAAGGACCCGCCAAATTTTTTACCCGATTTTTGCTTTTCAGACTGAATAAGACAAAAATAGAGAGGCTGACTTCGACGGCAATTTTAACTTTGTTTTACAACTAGAAGTTTAAGGATAGTTTTTCATTAACTTTTTTTAACTCTCATTTTTCCTATTTCAATTATTACAGTTGCAATTAAAACAAATTACTATAACAATTACGTTAAAATACAGCATGGAATTTAGAACTAAAAAAAACTGTTTTTCGAATTTTTCTTAAAAACGATTTTTTTAAATTCTGTGTGATTCTGTTTTACTTGTACAGCAACCGACTATCCTTGCTAAAAATTCCTTAAAATCCTTTCAAAATTTATACGCGCCAATTCCTATTAAGAACTTTTTTTTTACAAAAGTAGATATCAAAACCAAATATCAAAGAATTTTTAGTCAGCATACCACTTTTTCTAACAATTTGACGTATGAACAAAATTTGCACAATTCTTAGAACGAAAAAGCCTACTTATAACAAAATTGCTCATACATCAGGGCAAAAACTTGAAAGTTCCGACTGCCCTTAGCTGGTCTCGAATAATTTTTGTTGAAATTTTTTTGATGAATTACAAATTCTGAACTGCCAATATCAAATATGGGGACCGGCCTGATAGCATGCGGCTATTGGCGCATCAAATTGAGCAACTAAGTTAGTTGCACACACTAAACGGCACTCTTGCAAGTCGTCACACTATCAAAAATGAAGTGCTTAAATTTGAGTTGAATTAAAATAATCAAGTAGTTTGCCTCAATTCAGTTTGGAACAATAATGAGTGCGGGATAATTCGCCTTATCAATTCATGCGTTAAAGATATTAACTATTAATCCAACAGCAATGACAAATTTGAGGTTGAAATTGATTTGCGCTTTTAGTTAGATAAATCTAATTAAAATAGGTTAATTAGATTTTTACGGCAGGAAAAAAAAATCTTTTTTTTTTGCTTGAAAGACAGATTTAAAGCGATTAAAATGGATTCATCGAAATCTTACAAAGCCGAACTAGTTTATCTATTCTGTTTGTTTTGAAAATTGAGCAAGTGTTTGTACTCTTGAAAATATCCGTCAAAGCAAAAGAGAGGAAGAACCACTCGAAGAGAGTTTTACCGCAAACTATTGCATTTATGGGATTCCGTTCTTTTTATCATCAAAGTTCTAGACTCATTTTTCTGAGGCAGATAGTGTATAATTAAAAAATCAGATTAGAAAAATTCATTTTTGGTGCAGAAAATTTAAATAATAGTTATCCTCATGTTTTATTTTCAGTCCAAACGTCAAAATCAAAAGGCAATTGAAAAACAATTTTATTTTTATCGGACTATTTTTTTGATAGTCTAGAAAATTTGAAAATAATTTGTATACATTGTGTACAAGTTGAGTCAGCAAAAAAGTCAAAGGTTGTGAAAAATCAGTTTAAATGGATTTAAATCAATTTTATTGTCAATCAAAGGTATCCGGTAGAAAAATCTCCAATGTTTAGACTAGATTACACAAACTATAAGAGTGCAAAAAACACGCGATGGGATAATGAACTCTCACTTTCTTTCTATTACAAAAAATTGTTTTTCTAGATATTACTAGAATTATTTTGTGCACTTTCTCAAGACTTAGAATCAAACAATTTTTTGAAGTGCAACATAATAATTCAGAATGATAACGAAGAATCAACGAGCAAAAAACTTGAGATATTTTACTAAGAGAAACGTGGGTCGATTGATAGATCCTTTTATTTCAATTAGTATTTAGGATTATAAGTCTCGGCTAAATTATATCATAGATCATAGTAGATCTGGTCCTAGTGTTAAAATGATAGTTATGTAAACAGATAAATTAAAAAGGATGATTAAATAGAAAAGGTTAAATGTTATGCACAGTTGTTCTTCTATAGTTAACTTTTACCAATAGGAGGGGATGTTTGTTTTATTAACTTATTGCTTTCATTTCTTACAATATTTGTTGGAAAAGCGGAGAGAAGGTGGGGAGAAGCTGTTGTCCAATTCTTGCCGGGAAAGGGTACACTGTCTAATGCTCACTCTCCGTTGAGGTATTGTCAAATACTAGGGTGGTTGCTCTTCGTTTTCGTTTCGGTCTGTTGAATTTAACTTGAACAAGTTTGTGAAAAGAAATTTCTTAAGTTTAATTCAACAATCTAGATTTAATAAATTTTGTAATAGTTTTTCCGAGTACTTCACAGAAAAATTGCAAGTCAAGCCTATTGCTAGTAACCTTAACTTCAATTGCAAATACCGCGCGATGAGATACTCAGCTCTCAGTTTCAATGTTTGCGTCACAAGACAAGCCTGTTGCTCGTAATCTTAACTTCAGTTGCAAATAACTCGCGATGAGGTATTAAACTCTCAGTTTCAATGTTTTTATAATAAGGCAAACCTATTGCTTGTTATCTTAACAACGATTGCAAATGAAACGCGATGAGATAGTGAACTCTCAACTTCAAGGTTTGTATCAGAAAACAATATTTTTGCTCGTTATTTTAATTACGATTGCATATGACACGCGATGAGATAATGAACTCTCAGTTTCATTTTACTACACAAGTAATGTTATTCTAGCAATTATAATAATTTTTTTTTCTTTTTCCATATTTTTTGTTTTCAAGCAGTTTACAGTGATCAGCAACCAGATAATCTTTATTTTGACATGATCCTTACGAAATAGATTGCTGAAAAAAAAACCCAAATGAAAATAAGAGTTGAATTGAAATTTCTTATCACCTATAATTTTAAATCAATAGATCAAGTAGTAGCAGCAAGGATGACAAAGTTATTAACAAAATTCTCGCTCAGTTTGCGAATAAAATTTAACTCAATGGAATTATGTCAAGAACTTGAATACTTGTACCGTTTTTAGCAGTCTGAAATATTTTTGGGAAAACGTTCTCGAATTTAAAAAAAAATAATTAAACCAAAAAAATATTTTTTTAATCTGTTTTAAAAATATAATTCCGCAGCATTCAAAATACGCAGTGAAACGTTTTGCGTCTAATTCAATTCGAATTGGAAGTACTTTTGGAACAGGATTTGATTGCCGCCTAGTATGTAACACGACAATAAAAACTATAAGTCTTTATCAAATAAAACGCAGATCAACCCTCGTACCCAACGGAGGCTGTTTTTTTAGATAAAAATTTCATAAAGGTTACCCAGACAAGTTTTCTTGTATTTTCTGTGCAGAAATGATTTTTTTCTAGCCTAGAAAAATAAACAATTTTTGGAAAGAAATAATCAGAAATTAATTAATTGCTCAACCGCAACGAGATAATTATGCTCCGAGCATAAACAATAACAATAGCAGCATAATGCAAATCAACCCTTTTCGTAACAAATGCTATTTTGGATTAGATTGCTAAAACTGTTAATTTTCATCAATGAATGTGGCCAAGTGGTTAGCACATCTGCCTAGCACACTGAAAGTCCGGGGTTCGGCCCCAACAGGATTCTTTTTTTTTGTAGCTAGAAATAGCCTAGATTTAGCTATTTTCTGATGAAAAACAAGATGAGAATTAAAGATTTTTTAAAAAAAAATACCTGCTTTATTTAAACATTTCATAAATAAAATTCTGATCAGAAACTTAGATTAGATATAAAGAATTTTAGATCAGAAATAAAGAACTTTATCGTTACGGGCTTGCAAAAGTCTAAGCATATTGTCGGCAAAGGCTAACATAAGTCTGCAAAGTCTGAACATTTAATTAGTTCGGGCAAAACATTTAATTAAAAAGAGCAAATGATCTTTTTTTAGAAAAACTTGACAGGCAAAACGTAATTTATTAAACCGATTTTTGTCACAAAAATGTCTGAAAAACAATTGCATGCAAAAATTGGTCAAAGCTGAGAATTTGCACTTTTCAATTAATTTTTTTGTACGAATTTTTGCACTTCTCTATAAGTATGCAGAGCTTGGACATAAATCTGCAAAGCCTGAACATGAGTTTGTGAAGTTGTGCGAATTTCCTTCATTAACTCCTGGCAACCAAAAATTCCTATTTTTTTTCTATTCAACATTACGAGGTCAAACTGTGTGCAGTGGTTAGGCGCACAATTTTATGTCTGTATGTTACTGAGTTCCAGAGACAAGTCTTTAAACATGTTAAAATTTATCGGAACAATCAACGAGAACGAAATAACGAGAATGAAAGAAGAACATAGGGAGTGTTCTTGTTGCGGCATCCGCTTACAATTCGCAAAATACCCAATTTGGTCTCGTAATGAAACAGTTTTTTTTGTCAAATCAGTTTTTGTATTTGGCTATCGATTCTATCAAATCATATCAGGGCAAGCTTCTTGAAAAACGAAATCACAACTTAGTTGGGCTATCGTTTCTTGTTACTTGTTTATAGGCTGGCGGACGCAATAATGGTGAATAAACTCCGTTGGAGAACCAATTCGTACTTTTTATGCGCAAAATTCTGAAAATTAGTTGAAATGAACTTCAGAAATGCGTGACAGCCGAGACATCAAAATCAGAGTTGGGATCAGAACGTTAGAATCTTTCACAAAAAGTCAGAGAAATGAAATCGGGCGACAAAAATACTGGATTTTTAGCAAATGATACCATAATTAGTAAGCTTCAACAAAATTGAGAGAAAAATCTGCATCAAAAACTTTAATTAGGCTCTTTATTGAACTGGCTTAATCTCTGTACAATTTTTTTTTTCAAAAGTTTCGCCGACCGCTGAAACTTTTTCTTCAGTTGCGTTGGTCATAGACACTTTCATGTCGGTCTCGCCGATATTGGATGCTTTTCTTTATAGTCGCAAATGTAGCAATGCAATTACATTGTCGCAAAATTCTAGAAACGTTGGACTCCCGCGTCAAATTCCGACAAGTCGGAATTGGAAACATCAAATACCGATACGAAATTTTCAAAACTTTACGATTTGGCTGCAAAATTTTAAGACTTGTGCCCGAATGTCATTGATAAAGAATTAAATAGCTATTTGTTTTCGATGTTGACTGCAAAGAAGCAAAACAACGTAAGCAGTAATATATTTTTGACTTACAGGCTAATGGGAGTGAGGCGGGTATTGGGGATATGGAGGAGTGGGCATGGGGGCGTGTGTTCGACCGGAGACTGAGACACATCTTCGAGGAGGATGCGAAGGACTACTTCAACTTCATCCTGCTGGCAACACTCTCCACCACCACACAAGTGATCACACGTGCAGAACGGGTAAGCAACACCATCACAGTAACTAGAACTGCTGTGAGTAAAAAAAGAGACGAGTAGAAGATGTACATATTCAGACCTTCATCAACTTGCATTAGAATAATGGAATCCAAGATAGTTTCCACGATCAGAAAATAGAGCGCTTATTAGGAGGCACCTAGTGTAGTGGTAAGGCGTTCACTTTGAGATCGTGAGATCCTGTACTCGCCCCCTGCCATGGCAATGATAGTGCGTCAGTACGAGCTCTCAATTGACTTCTACTTCAGGTCTACCGCAAGCTGACCTAACTTGGTTGCAATAGTGGTACCACGTGAAAAATCTAGACGCAATAAAAAACGGCCTTGACTCGCACATAAAAACTTCGCTCAACAAAATAACTCGGACTTTTTTTGGGTAAACAGTAAAAACGGACTATGCCTTATGCTTAGACAGGCCTCATGCTTTTCCTGATCCTGTGCGAGAAACCAGAACTGATAAAACCTATATTATTAACATTAAGTTAATATTAAAATCGGCGATGAGTGGTGTCTCCAATTCAGAGATTGTTCACATCGTCTCCACTTTTCGGGTAAATCCATGGTTATCCGTGGTGTTTTAGTTGATAGAGGAGCGTCAGATGAGCTCGTACAATTGGATCTTAGCCAATCAGGAGCTGACGATTGAGCAGTTGAGAAGACTGAACACTCGGTCCAAGATAGTGGCACTCAGCCGCATACAGACCACCCCCGCTCAAACACACTCTGCTGAAGACCCAGTCAAAAGGCACGGTGTTGATTTTCTCCGCTTCTATAACGGTTTTCTTATTAGAATCGTTTCCTCCATCGTTTCGAGCGTCGTTTTAAATCTGCTTGAACTCAATTTCTTGTGGGTTCAATATTGAGAGAATGAACGCTTTTCCTGTATTTCCATAGTTTATCAAACTTTTCACAAAACTTTTACTTTTCATTGAACGAAGTATAACGTGACAAGTCGCGTTTATCTAGTTTAAGAGAGTTTTTAATTTTTTAAGCTGTAATTTTTTCGGTCACTGTTCAAATAATTAAGTGGAGAAATATTTTAGAATTAATTCACCTTCAAACTGATTGTAACTTATCAGGAGCAGCAGCAGCAGCAGCAGCAGCAGCAGTAGCAGCTCTTCTCCTTCTCGCTCTAAATCTGCGTTGCCGCCACCCAGGAGGGGGAGTGAGGGTGCTGGTGGGGAGAATGAGAGGGAGGTGGAGTACCTGCTGGACGGCCTGTGGGTGGTGAGGGACCTCATACTCACCACAGCTGGACAGATAGACTGGCAACAGGTACGACCCAGTCCTCCCCCCCCCCCGACACACATCCACCACGGTATACACCCACACTCTCTTTGATGGTATTTTTTCCGAAACAGAAGTGTCTATAGAAGACGAGGTTTCGCATGCATGTGTTCTAGAGTTCATGTTTCAGAGAATCATAAAGTTCACTCGTCTGCGCTTGACACCGGAAAAAACTGATTTGAAAGGGGAAAAAACTGATTTGAATAAGTTTAGTTTTTACTTTGGACCAGAATTGCCATCTTTTTCGTCTTCATCATTTTCTTCTTTTTCTACTGCAGGTGAGCCAACTTGAGTGTTCGTCCTCCAATACGGCCACCTTCAAAGACGGCGACAAACTGGCCTCCGCTCTCAGGACTGTCGACATACGTGCAAGATCCGGTTCCGTCAAATTCATGCACGACAGGTTGCTATATTTCTATACATTGGCAAATATTGGATTTTCGCGAGCAGGAAGAAAGAAAGAAAGAAGAATTTTTTTTCTAGAAAGTAGGATTTTGCAATTAAAAAGTAAACATAATTCTACTTTTTGAGTTTTTTGAGTTCGGTTAAACTGGCGTTGGACACAAAGTTGGGCAAAGTAAGGGCTACCAGATAATACTTTTAATTATCCAATAAAATTAAACCAACCATTTGATCAGCCAGAAATTTAGAAATTTATTATTAATCTACCCATATACCTAACTAAAAATTCAGGTTTTTTGTGAATCTTTATTCTCAACAAAAAAATTGGAACTCAGTGGAAATTTCCTTATTATTGACTTCCACCAGGAAAAACGTCAATTTGAACACGTTTCAACTGGGTCTTCAATTGCTCCTAATTTTTTTTTTAGCATTATGAAGCTGGCGGATGCGGGAGAATAGGTTTTTACCAGTTTGTTTTGCTGTTTATGAGCCCAACTTCTAGTATACTATGAAGACTACTTATGCGTCTTGTTTCAGACTGAAGGTGTTCATAGAACTGGACATCTGGGCCACCAACCCCCCACAGAAGAGAGACGAGGAGAAAGAGAAAGAAGAAGGAGAAGAAGAAGAAACTGAGAATGTGTGGGAGCTGATTGGACGCTGGGACGTGGACAATGAACTGCAGCTGAAGGAGGGCAGATTGAAGCCATTCCAGGAGAACTACTTCTCAGTCGAGGGTATGCTTACAATCAAAAAGTCACTCGCATATTTATTTCCAAATCTCATTTTATGCTACTTCTTTTTATAAACTTAGATTCAATTCTTATTGATCTTACTTCTCACTAGTTCATAAATGAGCCTAAAAAGTAAGATTTTCACAAATTACATCAAGAAAAACCAACGATTAATTTAGTCCAGTAAAACAGTTTTGATAAATTGCTCTATATCCATCAAATATCAGTGTTGGTCCCAAAAACTAGAAGGTTACTATTTTTCGAATCCAGAAACTCTAATCCAGCGAACTCACTCTAGGGGTTAAACGACCTGTTAACTTCGAGTAACTAAACTACTGATGGAGTGGCGCGATTGTGATACTTATATTGTTACACATGAATTGTGTTGCGTGTGTTTTGTTGTGTAGATTTGAAGCTACGCATAGTGACCATAGTGGAGCGTCCATTCATCATCCGCAACGAGGTGCAGAATGGGGCGACTGAGGATCCCAACGGGAGTGGCTTTGCGAGAGGGGGAGGTGGTGAGAAAAGTGTGTACTACACAGGGTGCTGTGTGGACATTCTGAATGCGATCCAGAAGGAGTTGCGCAACTCGACGAATGGACTGTCGTTCCAGTACGAGATGTACGAGGTGGCCGACAACAAGTACGGCATAGTGGACCCACACACTAACAAGTGGAACGGACTCATAGGTACTCTACTTAGAGTATCATATACCCCAAGCAGTGACGGCTTTTTTAGAGGGGAGATATCTCCCCGCCCCCTCTCTCTCTCTCTACCCAAATCGCATCATCTTTTGGTTCCATTTTTTGATATCTATTTGTGGTTAACCGACTCTAAAGTTTTTTCTTTTCTATATACTAATTTTCAAGACGAATGGGCCGACAACATTCAAGACGACATAAAAAACTATTCTAATTCTACGTCTATATATGTACAATTACTGTACATACACTTAAAAAGACTAAAACGAATAAAAGCAAGTATTTGAATTAACAATAAAAGAACAACTGAACTTCCGATCATATCGACCAATGGTCGTAACTAAATTGGTTAACAGGTATTAATTAAATACCGAAGGTCATCTAAGGTACTAAAACAAATCACAACATTTCCCACCGGGAAAAAAAATAAAACTGTAAACTAACTACATAACTCTATATACACCCTTCCCCCCCTTCGAGAATGGATAAATTTTACAAACTGCACCAAAAAAGTAAATATACAGAAGCAAAATAGAATCCACAATTAAGAGAGAATGTACAATTTACAGGGTGACTATACAGAATTACAAAATTTACAGGATACAGTAACTAAGTAATTTAAAACTAATCCACAACATGTACATTAACATGTACAATTGTATCTACAGGTAAAAGTGAAAGTCCGACGGTCATATATGAATCAAGATTGTTTTGTTCAGTTTGTTTGATATGTAAATTAATTGAATTGGTTGTCAAAATCGTCCAATTTAGCCCTGATCTCCGAATCTATAGTCGAGGAGATCTCGCTACAGTTGTCCATCTCTAGCGGGGGGTCCTTAGTGGTCTGGTAAGCTGCAAATGAGCCCGAGGAATTTTCGTGTAAATAAGTCTTCGTAGGGGAAGTTACTGGTCTGACCGCCGGGAGGGAGTTCTTTGAAGACCAGGATAAGGTCGTTTCCGCAAGGAGAATTTGTCGGGGAGGTGCCTCGGCTAGTGGTGTCAAAAAGTCGGATGGTGAAGTGACCGTGAAAGTAGCCCTATGGGAGTCGAGTGACGAGGAGAATACTGAAGTTGACACCCCTGGGTCGTCTTTTTCTAGAACCACGTCTATAAAGCGGCGATTTCCATAAAACTGTCGGGGCCCACATTTCTGCGCGGTCTAGAGTTTTGAGGCTTTATCGTCGGGCTGTCCATGTGCTCTGGAATACTGTCTACCAGTATTGGATTGTCTTGCGATCCTTCTGTCATGGTCGCGTCATGGATGACAACAATCTCCCGGGGGTCGGTGTTCGCTGACCTTTCTGAGCTCGGGTGTGGGGATTCGACGGTAACACTTAAGCCTTGGTTAGATTCGGACTGAAGGCTTTGAGGAATATTGTTATTGGTCACATCGTCGAAGTAATCGTCGATTATCCCGTCCCATGAATCTATGTTTAAGGAAGAAGATGAACCTGAAGAGGTTTTTGACGGGTCTTGAGTGGCCGCGCTCACCGTCGGTGTACCAGTCCCTGCTCTGGTGTTGAATGATCTTGAAGTGCCTTGACCCGAATGTCCAGCGGGAGTCGATACAGCTTTCTTTGGTGGAGACAGTTTCCTTTTCCCAGCTAAACTCGAATAGGTATGAAGTTTATGCCCGGTGGGTGTCTGAATCGCTATTATCTTTTTGGGCCCAGGGAGTATTTTTCCTTTTATAGCGAGATCCGATGACTTATGTAAAACGTGACCGTTGTCAAGGGTTATGGTGTGTTCAGAAGAATCGATGATATCCTTCTTAACCAGATTAAAAAATGGGTAATATTTTTCCTGTTAGACACCTTTCTATATAAGTTACCTCCCACTACTGATTTTCTTTTTGCCAGAGGTTTTGAAGATTGGTTAATGTCGTCTGGGGTTGTATTTAGAGTGACCGTCCTAGATAGCGGCAGGTTGTCCTCTGGGTCTGACGTGCTGTCCTTTTCCTCATCCAGGTATCCATCTTCTGCCCCGTCGTGGAGTTCCCAGTTAGTTGCCCAGTCCTTGGAAATTATAGCTTTCCCTTTATCTAAATGGTCAATATTGAACATAAGATTTTGCCACCTAGTGTTCGCTACTCTATTAAAATGTTTTTCAAACGGTGTACAGCCGATCGCGGATTGCTTCGAGATTCTTAAATTTCAATTGGTTTTCTCGATTGACTCATTAAGTGACGGCTTGGGTAATTCAAAGGACATTGCCAGTAGTTTCGATTTAATTGTTTACACTAGTCTTTCCACTAGCCCATTGGATCTGTGATCGCCGACTGTGCAGTAAATAATTTCCATATTGAATTTATCGCAGAAGTTTTTGAAATCATGTGATAAGAAGCATGACCCATGGTCAACCCTAATTTTTCTTTGGAAACCGTGTAGGTGACAGTAATCGTTTAAAAATGAAATTACATTTCTCGTAGAAGTGTTGTTAACAGTCTTGGCCGAAGGAAACTTTGTATAACTGTCAATGCAAAGAAGGAGATATTTGTTGTTACCCCAGAACGCGTCCAACGGTCCCGCAAAGTCCAGATTAATTTCTTCGTTCGCGAATGTCAACGTCGGGAGTTTCGAAATATTATCGGTACCTAGTAACACTTTAATGTTCTTACCCGCCCTTAGACATTGGCTACATGTTCTCCCGGTAAATTTCCCGATAAATGTGCGGCCACCACAAGTATTCGGCAAGAGATTTCGTCCCAAATTGTCCAGGATGCGTCTCATGTAGCATCGAATTAAAGGTTCCCCTGATAGTAGCCGGTACTACTAATTTATTGTACAAGAAAAATTGCTCGTCCTTCTTATGCAGATCTTTGGCATAAATTTTCATGTATGCTCCGTGTCTTCCCATTGGTCGTTTCCTCTTGATTGTCCACAGCACCTTGTCTTCCCTGGTCATAATGTGAAGCAATTTCTTTGAGCAGTGGTTTTCCGGGTGAATCGGGGAAATTGGTAGGTTTAAGTCAGCCTTGTATCTTCTTACGAGGTCTGCGTGGTCGGGTGGAAGTTGATTGTCTCTGAATTTGAGGGCGATATTATGTTCTTCCGGGATGATCAGTAGCGGTTCATTTACTTTATCCATTGGGAGTTCTATTCGTTTCTTGCTAGATGGTATTAATTGTCTGTTTAGTAATAAAAAATGTAAAAGGACTTTGTCCGAAAAGGTAATACTTTTAAAATGAAATTTCAAATTATCGACAGGTTGACAATTTGTGGTGCAATTTGCTGTTCGAGAATGTTGATTGTGACAAATTTTGATCGACTGAGCGATACAAGATATGATAGCAGCAATAATCTTGAGATTAAGTAAAGCTAAAGAGCTATTCAATCGATTCTGACCAATCACGTCGCTTGAATTTTCATTTCCCGACGGGATTGTAGTAACTCGAGCATTAATATTTACAGCGACCGCTGGTCGATCTACAGTATTTACAGAATTTGTTTTAGAATATTGTTTATTCAATAAAAAGTTCTCATTTTTGTCGATTGAAGCGACTATAAATTCGTCGTCATAATTGGAAGGGCTTTGCCAGAAGGAAGTCGAGATAAAAGGTCTGTAAAGCCCATGTCCTTTCCTGGTAAATGAGAATTTTTAAAATTGAATGGTAAATGTCTGTTTGATTTGCCAAAGGTGCTGATAGTAATGCTTTATGGTCTGTTACTATTTGAAATTCCGTTCCGTACAGGTAGTTTCTAAAATGTTCTGTTGCCCATACGACTCCCAGCAACTCCAATTCGTTGGTAGAATATTTCATTTCATGGTTGTTTCAAAATCTGGATGCAAACGCGATTGTTTTCCACTGGTTGTCCTGTAATTGTTCTAGGGTCGCCCCTAGTCCGTTATGTGAAGCATCCGTTTTCAGTCTTGTCTTCTCTTTTATATCGAAGTGGCTGTTTTCTGTGATATTTACAATTTCCGTTATTAACTTCTCAAAAGCTATGGAATTGTTCATGTCCCATTTGTAGACCAATTTTTTGTTTAGTAGTGGTCGAAGGGGGGAACTTAAAGATGAAATTTAGGAACAAATTTTACGTATTGGTTTATCGAGCCGAAAAATGAACGTAGTTCGGAGATATTCTTCGGGGTTGGCAAATTTTTTTTTGCGTCTGCTTTACCGACCAACGGTCGTACTCCATCACCGGAGATTTTGAAGCCAAGCCATTCGATGTCGGATTTAAAAAATGCGCATTTCCCCCATAGTTCGGAGATATTCTTCGGGGTTGGCAAATTTTTTTTTGCGTCTGCTTTACCGACCAATGGTCGTAATCCATCAACGGAGATTTTGAAGCCAAGCCACTCGATGTCGGATATAAAAAATGCGCATAATATTGATAAAATTTTATACACTATTGATTTTTGTTCTTCCAAAATTCCACGCGAGGCTACCAGGATGTCATCTATGTAACAATTTGCGAAAGGGATATTTTTCAACAGTGAGTCCATGACCCGTTGGAATTCGTTGGGCATGTCTCCCAATCCGTAAAATCCCGTTAAAAATCGATACGTTCCGGTAATTTCACCGCCTACTATGCTAAAATTGCACTGTTTACTTGTTTGTTCGCATAGTTTAAGTTGACTATAAGCGTTTTTCAGGTCTAGATTACTAAACCAAGCTCGTCCGTTGGATTTTTCTGAAATTTGAAGAGCCACGTTATCAATCAGCTCATGGATGTTTGACATTTGGTATTTATTTTTAAAAACTTGATCGTTTAATAACTTGGAGTCTAACGCCAGTTTTATCGAGGTATCCTTTTTCCGAGTAATCACAATTGGGCTGATAAAACAATCTTCATCGCATTTCTCTAGTTTTACTATGTGACCTTCTGTTTCCATTCTTTTTAATTCTTCGTTCACTCCCGCAAGTAAATATAGTGGGACACTTCTCCCTTTGGACTGTATTGGTTTAAAAGGTGAGTGGAAGTGAGTTACCTTTCGGTCGTTGGGTATTTTCCCTACTCTAGTGAATAAATCTTTGAACTCGTTAAAAATCTTGTCAGATAAAGAAGATGAGTTTTTGTACTCACTCTCGAGTGTGGGTTGATTGACCATGCAGATTGGTTGGGAGCATTTCCTCTGTGATATTTCTATGCCCAGCTTGGGTGAATTGTCGTTCCCGAGAATGTTTCGCTCGTGTCCACCGGTTATGAAGAAAGGGGTATCTTCGCTGATCCACCCATTGGACTGTGTTCTGACAATTTTTTTTCCAAGATATTGATCGTATCGTTGGTGAATCCGCAGTATAGGTCTTTTATTCTTTTCTCAACTGGGTGTATCTTGAGGTTCGGGTATCTCAGTTTAATTTCGTGTATTACATTCTATTTTAAAAAACTTACAGGGCTTTTTGAATCTACAGGTATGTTCATATTTACAATCATATCCCAGCCGATGCCTAGGTTCAGGAGTTTCTTTGTTTCGAGACCGTTTTTGTCGTAAATAGTTCTAACGCTCAACACCGAGAAATCGTCATCGTCACTTTGTCCGTACTCGTTCCACGCATTTATAACATCGCAAGATTCTAGGTCTTCCATCCACGAGTTTTCCGGAGGAGCGTATGTACAATTATCATTATTTACATAATTATCTGATACAGTATTTACAATTGGTCTCTTATTGCGTGATTTACATAATTTGGCGAAGTGTCCTTTATAATTACAATTTTTACAGGTTATTTCCTTCGCTGGGCAGACGTTTAAGTGCCCTTTCGTAAATGTGTTCCCGCATTTCATGCACGAGTTACTCCGTTCGATGTTTAGGCTTGGTTCCTTTTTGATCTGATTGTGATTATTAAAAGATTTAAAAGTTGTCCAGTTGGTCGACGACCGTGACATATTTGCCAGTTTCTGGTGGTTAAAATATCCCTTTTCGTTGATTAAGGCTTGATTAAGTGCTTCCGACGGGCTTATGGTTGCTGATAGTAGCTTCCTCTGGGTATCTGTGTTCTTCATATTGCAGATGAAGATGTCCCTTATCCATTCCGCCTCGTCAGATTGCTTGATGTTGCACGTGCTAGCCAGGTCCGTCTGCTCCCCAGAATTGTTCGTACGACTCGCGATCTTTCTGTTTTCGATTTAATAATTTATATCTTTCGAACGTAGTGTTGGGCGGTTTGTTAAATGCTGCGTCTAATAGAGTCCAGAACTCGGAGAACGATATTGCTAGAATCTTGACTCTCGGGTTCTTTTGTGTAAAAACTCTTTTTCCTTCGCTCCCTAAGGCTAGGAATAAAATTGATCGCAGTTTCTTGTCCGCCTCCGTTCGTCTCATTCCATTAAATTTCCTCTTTTCTTCGTTGATCCGCTTCTCTTCGGCGGATTCATACTGTTTCATCGTGTTTTTGTTTCTGCTCTCTCTGTTGGCTTTTTCCACGTCCGACTCGCTGCCTGTTGCTTGTTCCAAGATTGGAATTTGAGTCTCTGGTATCTCTGGTCCATGCAGACTCTCTAAATCCAGGTTTTCTTTCGCAATGATCGCCAATTGGAATTGGTCGCGCCATTGGGACCAGGCATGCGGTGGTTCTAGTGTATGATTAGGCCAAAATGGGGAATTCCACGCACGTTCGAATCATTAGACTGCGCCATAATAAACTATTCTAATTCAATGTTTATATATATACAATTACTGTACATACACTTAAAAAGACTAAAACGAATAAAAGGAAGTATTTGAATTAAGAACGTTAAAAGAACAACTGAACTTCCGATTATATCGACCAATGGTCGTAACTAAATTGGTTAACAGGTAATAATTAAATACCGAAGGTCATCTAAGATACTAAAACAAATCACAACACGACATAATTTTTGTCGGCCCAAAATAACTATGTTGGCAAAAATGTCGGTTTTCTTCAAAATGTTTTAAGCAAGGGATATTTTTAGAGGGATTCTATCAGTCCACAGTGCAAGTGGCAGCTAGTGAATGAGATTAAGAATACCTGTGTCGACGCATGTCTGTTTAGGAGACATTCTGCAGAAGAAGGCGGACATGGCGGTGGCTGGGATGATCAGGAATTATGAGCGGGAGATAGTGGTGGACTTCTCCGCCTCCTACATGGACTATGGGGTGTCCATCCTCATCTCCAAACCACACAAGACCAACAACGTATTTGGGTTCCTCAAGCCACTCACAGTGCAGGTTACCAGCCCACATCTGTCCACGCATTTTTTGAGGGGGTCTGGATGAACAATTTTTACAAAGTTTCTTTCAGACGAGACATTTTCGTTTTTGGAGCACAGCCTAACCGAGGCTAGCATTACCACATTTCGCAAAAAAAATTGTGCCTCAGATCAGGGGCGGATCTAGGATTTTCTCGAGGGGGGCGGATTTTCAAAAAATTTTCCAAAATTTTGACGACCTTTTTTTTTTTCTTAGGTCGACCAAATTGATTTTTATTTTTCGCGCTCTCCTAAAGCACTGTTTTGCCCTTATTTTGGCAAAAATTTTTTGCGCCGCAGGCAAATTTTTTTTGAAAAAACAGTCAAAAAAGCCGTTTTTGGGCATTTTTTGAAAAATTTTGACTGCGTTTTTTTGGCGCGCGCTCCCCCTCAAAAATAGCATTTATTGGCGCCGAAGGCGCCTTTAGAAAAATTTTAGGGTCGGTCGGCCAAAAATGGATTTCTGAAAAAGTATCAAAGGGGGGACCCTTTGGGTCGGCAGGGGGTCAAATCCCTGAGGGGAGGGGGGGCGTCCGCCCCCCCCCCCCCTAAATCCGCCCCTGCCTCAGATGATTTTTTGGATGAATTGGCATTTTTGAAGGCGGTTTTTGGAAGGTTCGTTTTTGACTAAAAACCAAGCTTTTTGGGGGGCGCGGGGCGGTGGTCATCAAAATGAGCGAATACCGAGTGTGATGGTGTCTGCAGGTGTGGATTTCGATCTGTGTGGCCACCTTTCTGATTGGTCTGCTGCTGTTCGTCCTCTCCCAACTCAGTCCCTTCAGTCGCTTCAACCTCTTCGGCTCAGAGGAGTTCAACTTCAACAACGCCATGTGGTTCGCCCTCGCTTCCCTCATGCAACAGGGTAACCAATGAGTCAGATCTTCTTTTCTAGACAGATGATAATTGTTTCATGTATTCACTCCAAAAATTTGGGTCTTCGAAAAAAATAGTTTAAAAATATGCAAAATAACCAAGAAAAAATATATTACCTTTATGTATATCATTACTTATATACATAGAAATTATAAAGTTTAATGCCATCTTAAATTGCGCAAAGATTTATGGCATTGCCAATGAAATGTTTCTGCTGATCGAAACCACTTGGTAGTTCTATCAAAAGGCTGCCATCATTTCATCAAAAATCCGCTCCATGATCGTTAGAACGCTATTGTATCGACTTTCATATCGACTCTAAAATCCGCTCCATGATCGTTAGAACGCTATTGTATCGACTTTCATAGCGACAATCGATTTTTGGTCGAACCATAACGTCCAGTTAGAATATTGTGGTCTCGACTACTAGAATGTCTCGTCAACTAGAAATTAGAATATCGATACCGCGACAACTCGCAACAAAATACAACTCTTAACAAAAGACAACTTGCAAAATTTAAGGAAAGCGACAACTCACAAAGTTTGAAAATTGTTACGAAATTTTTTAAATCTAATGTCGATTTGAGGATGTTAGACAACGCGCGCCAAAAAAGAGCAATAACCGTACCGCGACAACTCGCAACAAAACACAACAGGAACAGGTAGCAAAAGACAACCTGCTAGTTTGAAAATTAATTTGTAACGGAAGAATTTTGAATTAAAATCGCCAGTGGACCAGCTACGCTAATTTTCTTATTAAATCCTACCCTCTGTTGGCAAGCTCGCAACACGTTGGCACAACTGCGGCGGTGAGTATATGGCGAGTTCTTTTTTGTTACGAGTTGTCTATTATTGCAAGTTGTCTTTTGATGCGAGTTGTCGCATGACGCTTAATATCGATCCGGGTCGTTATGATTAGCCTGTGCACTGCAGGGGGAGATGCTACTCCTGTGACTACGAGTGGGCGAATACTGGGCACGTTCTGGTGGTTCTTCAGTCTCATCATAGTGGCCACTTACACTGCCAATCTGGCCGCCTTCCTCACTGTGACCAGAATGGAGACCCCCATTGAGAGTCTGGAGGACCTGGCCAGTCAGCACAAGATGAGATATGGCACAGTGGCAGACTCCAGTCTGCAGTACTTCTTCCGCGGTCAGTAATATACACCACAAACTACGCCCTTTCTCACTCTCTAAATCCATTTGCTACAACAAAAATGTTAAGATTAAGCCAAATAAATACAAACAATTGAGGTAATATTTACGTTGGTTTTACGGTAATTTCTACATAATTTAAGTTTATGTTAATTTCACTTGAGAAAAAGTTATTTTTTTCTTATGAGCATGTCGTCTGAGAGTGGTTCTTTTGGTAATGTTTAATCTTAATTTTGCATTTTTTTTCATAACTAAGGAAGGCAAGGCATAACTAAAGTTGTTACTTATCGCACACATGCAATGTCTGTTGCTAAATGATGTGATGTGTGTGAGCTGTAGACCAGGCGGGTATGGACCAGTTGTATGAGCGGATCTGGACGTACATGAGTGAGACTGAGCCGACGCCAATGGTGCGGGACGAAGAGGAGGGGCTTCACCTGGTGCTCAACGGCGAGTACGCATTCCTCTGGGACGACCCAGTACTTCAGGTACACAACACCAAAACACCTTACCCCTCCCCATCCCCCGTCCTCCCTCCCGCCTACCCTCTACGCCAAGATACGACTAAACGCACTGGCCATTGATTCTTAGATTCGTAGCGAGTCGCATCGATTCACCCGCGGCGTCCTCCGTACAAATTGCTGCAAAGTTGTATCAACCAATCGAATGAGTGGTGGCAGTTATTTTTTTGCTTTGAGTCAAAATTCGCAAAACAAACTTATGACTACTGAAAATACGACCAAGATCAGAATGATCTAATGTGCCGCTGTTCAGACCAGTTAAATTGTGAGTTCCTGTTTCACTTTTTATCTTACTTTGCATTTTTACACCACAATTTGGAAATTTGTAGAGGTGATAGTCGTCAGGTACCACATGACATAGACATTTGGACTGATGAGCATCAAAATTCGTTTGACTTTTAGCTTTTTCTTAACATTGTTGTTTGTGTCTGTGTTATCTTTTGTGTTTTTTGTTCTAGTTCCACCGCAAGCAGAACTGTCATAAGCTGCAGGTGGTGGGGAAGCCGTTCAACAAGAAGAACTACGCATTCGCAGTGCCCAAGGGAGCCCCCTACAGGGAGACAATCACACTCTCCATCCTCCGATTGCAGGAGTCGGGCGAACTTGACAAGATTAAGCAGAAGTGGTTTGAGAGTGAGTCACAATTCATCATTCCATATCTAGTCACTCAAGTTTCAAAATTGCGCTTTTCTAATGGATAGAGACCTGGAAGTAGTATTCAACTCAGGAGCAGGTCTAGAATTTTGGCGAGGGGGAAAGATTATCAGATTTTTGTTATATCTGGCTGACCTTTTCAGCTCTCAACAGTTTAAGAACCATATTTTATCATAAATTTCCGCGCCGCATGCGTTTTTTTGCAAAACAATTGCAAAAGCTCCATTTTAAAAAACTTTTTAAATAATTTTGACCACAATGACCAATCTAAAAATTAGTGTATTATTTTTAATAGCGCGAAGAGCTTTTATTTTTTAGGCTCCACTACGTGTACAGAGGAGGACAAGGGGTCTGCGACAAAGAGTGCGGAGGGGATTGAGCTGGACAATGTGGCAGGCGTCTTCTACATCTTAGGGGCAGGCGCAGTCGTTTCCCTACTCACATGTGTCATAGGTAACATTACAATATCGAGTACAAACCAACTTTAAAGAATACATTCTTATTCGCTATTCCAAAGATGTCAGCCAATGAGTTTTTTAAAAAGATTTTTCTTCTCACAATACCAGTGAATTTTTTTGCAAAAAGACTCAAGAGCTGGTTTTTTCTATCTTTGCAAAGTTCAATTATCTATCAGGTTCAAATTGCTTTTGTTTATACACAGCCATGTCACTTGCTTAGCATATTCTATCAATTTTTGTCAAAACTATAGCATGTTCTATTCAAGCTTAGCATACTTTATTTATTATTGTCAAACTATTTTGGCAAGTCTAGAAAGTGACGGAATAATTGTGTTCAGGGTAGTATTTTTTCTTCAAGCAAGTTTTGACTTTTTAGTTGCTATTTTCGAGGGATTTTCCTATAACGCTTAGAGTGCGCAGTGAACTAATCAGGCTCAAAAATTATTCCAATCTGAAAAGACTCCAAATTTTTGATGCAAGAGATGACCTACTGAAAGAAATGAGCATAATTTGTTACTTCCAATTGTACAAGACGCGAAAACTTTCACAAAAAAAAAACATTTTATTTGAAAATTTCATCAGTTTCGAAACCAAAAAACACATTAGGCACCTAATGAGATTTTTTTTTACTAAAAACTTTGTTATCTTCATGTAAAAAATCATGCTTAAAGGCATCTTCGATATAGTAGCTTCAAAAATGCTCCCTGACTTTAAAAAAAAATAAGTATTAGGCAGAGGTGATTGACTTGTGTTTCGATTTTTGGGACTCAAGATAAATTTGGACCTCCTTGAAACATTTAACAAGCTTGTTCTTTACTAAGTGGTCATTGCTGGTTCATTGCTTAGTAATCTAGTTCAAAATTATAAGTCTCAACTGAGATCGTTAAAAACCTTGACAAGATTTAAAGTTAAAACATTGGTTTAAAAATATATAAATTGATGAGTATGGTCAGTGGTTAAATAAATACAGTTTGTATAACGCAAAGGAACAACAAGTTTTAATACTATTTACCTTTGGGTGGATCATATTCTTAGACTTGTCAACAGTTTGTGATCTTACTGGGGAAAAGAGAAGTCTCGTGTTCTAGTCACTGTATTAACTTTTCGAGTTGAAATCCGGCTCTAGAAGGTTCGATTTCTCGACTCTATCTGCACTTTAGACCTTCTGCTTCTGGCTCGTCCTGTGTTGTGTTGTTTTCTTGGAAGGGTAGTGTTCTTTGATTTTCTGGTTTGTGTTTTAAATTAATCAGGATTCCATTTTTGTTTATTGGATCGCATTTGCCTCAAAAAAGTATTTTATCAGAATTTAACAGCAAATTAAAATCAGAAAAATTACAAAGCTTACTGAAATTGGTTTTTTTGGTTTCCACAGTTTGTCACCGAAAATGTGAGGCGAATAAAAAATCGGGCCGGTTGTTTAGCCAGCACAAATAATGATTCAAAACTGTGCACCTGATAATTTTATCGAACGCCTACGGTCGACATCAACCCTGTCTTACATCACAAAGTGTAGACTTCAATTTTTTTTTGTTTTTCAGAAAAAATCAATTTTTATTTAAATCAAGGCAACTGATTTGATTTGCAGCTGCAATTTAATTTACACTTTAAAAGATTTTAACCAAATTTATAGAAAAAAGACCGGTGTTTTTTGCTCACAAAAATAGCAGTCGGTTTTAGTGTCGCTGAATTTATCTGAATTTTATTTTGAAAGTATAGATGACAAAACACTATCCATCTTGCCGCTTTCTTAAAACTTGAGCGTTGGTTTGAGGGAAAAAAAAAGAAACATAAAATATCTGTTCTGAAAAAAATCAAATAATGAGTTTGGAAATATCTTTAAACTGAATAGGCATAAACTCAATCCTCAATCACAATAATTTCCTAATTTAAAGGAAGAATTTGTTATTTTTTCTAAGTATGAATAGGTCGAGTCGACAAAAAAAGGCAATAATCTGAAAAAAAAAATAGTTTTTTTTTGTTAAATGCTACAATTCACTCATTTTTATGGAAAAACAGTTGTTCCACCTGTGCTTTCATTTCTTTTACTAACACTACTCAAAAAAAAATTGAAGTTCAAAACTCTAAGACTCTAAGTCCAGAAAAGTCAAACATAAAACTTTTTAACGCGTGGTTGATGATTTGCTCATGAAGTTCATTAATTTCTTTTTTTCTTTTCCTTGTCACTGATCATCAGTTTTTTCTAATTTTTTTGTGAGGCATTTCATCATCTAGGTTGAAAAAAAATTTATTCGGTTCTATCCAGATTTGACCACATATTCTTTTAGCGTTATGTTCCTGATTTTCCACAGATTATTTTGATCTTTAAAATATTTATTCTTGAAACAGTTATGGAAAATTTAATGTCTATTTGGTGTCATTGTTAGTATCAGTGACATACTCTGTAATATGAATTATTTCATGTGGACCCCAAACTTTAACAAAATTTCGAAATTTTGCTTTTAATTGGAGTCGGCATGAAATGGTAACAAGATTATTTATCAATGACAGCAAGTTGAATTTTTTTTTTGTAGCCAACAACGCAAGGTATTTCGGTGGCAAAGAAAAAAGTTTAGCCGGTAAAAGGGTAGGCAAATAATTTTTGCCATTTCAGAAGAACAGTATTAGAGACGAAATTTTTTGGGGCAGTGGTATAGCCAAGTAACTATTCCGTCAGTGTCCCAAAACATAGATCGGCTACCAGTTAGCTTGTATGCTGGTAACTTTGTGTTATTAAACACACATCATTTTATTGATTTTTGAGATCTATTTAGTTCTATTTAGTTTGATGTTTCATGCCAGACTGTCCGACTAGTTTAGTATTGAAATAGATTTCAAAATCTAACTTTACCCCCAGATGAAATTCATAATCAGTTTCATTGGCTACTACATGGCGCCAAAAAGGATCCCGATGTTTGTTTGTCATTATTTTCAGAAAGTCAGTAGAGGCAAGTAACCTTGCTTATACCTCACCGATACATCAAAAGTTTCATCTCATCTATGCTTGATTCTTCTCATTATCAGTGTTTTATAAAAAAATTCTCTTTTGACGTAGTTAGTTCTGGATTTACCAAAATTGATATCAAAACTGCCTGAACAAGAAAAAAGAAGAGACTACAGACTCAAAATTAGTTCCATATTAAGCTCCTGATTTACTGCAAACTTCTTGTTGCTAGCAATAATTATGAAAAGTTAGACTTAAACCATTTGGTCTCATTTCTTCACGCAGTATCTGATTTTGAGGATGGCCGAACTTGTTAGCGTACTTATCTAATTTCGCTTTTGAGAAAAACTTTTTGTTGTGACTACGCTATTTTCTGGCATGTCCCAAGTATAAGAATAAGGTCTAGGGACGTTGATCGTCAAATATCTTAAATCGCGTAGTTGCTAAGTTTTAGCAATAGTTTATGTTTTGGATGATGCTTTTTATGAAGAAACTTTTTGGTCTGAAAATATGAGCGGTTTGATTGACTGTCACATGCAGGGCCTTAGTTTGAATATACTTTTGTAAACAAATTGATGACCCAAGTTTTACAAATTTAATTTTGGTTCTTTGTTCAATTCTGCTTGATAGAAGCTGCGTTGTCGTCGTTGTCTCTAAGGTTTTTTGTTTGTTGACCTAAATTGGACAAGCTACAGTCTACTTGAGGACTGTTGTTTTGATGTGGAGCGTTTCAATGATATTTTATGGAGGTTAATTTCATTTCCATTTTTTTTGGTTGGGTGAAAAAGGGTGAAATTTATTCTCCCTTGATCTGGTTTTGATGTACGTGTAGTTGTGTTGAGTACGTGTTAGACAAATATGTATTTCAGAATTTCAGAAGTTTTAAATTACGTCAAAACTGGGAAAATCATTTTCAACTAGCCAAAAACATTTCAACTGCTGACCAGGATAACATCATCCTTGGAACAGTTTGGGAAAAAAAAGACATTCAATCTTCTCATTTCTATGGAAAATATATCTTCCAGATTCAGTTTTAAGCTCAATTGTTTTTTCTTGCAAGTAGTTACTTTTATAATATATACGTTTGATTTTTCATATAGTGATGCCATATACAAAGTAGGTAAAATTTTCAAAATGTGAAAAAAAGAACAATCAATTTTTACCACCACCAACAAAAATTTTCTGCGTGAGTAAAAATATATTTTTTCTGTAAACAGAAAGCCGCACTGAGAATAATTTTAACACATCTTCCTTTAAAGTTGGAATATCACATCTTGCCGTTATTTTTTTCAGGACATTATATGGTCATTCAAAGAATTGAATATAAAAGAAGTTTTTAATATGAGGATTTAAAAATGGAACTATTTTTGTAGGATTGTGAGTTATCAATACAAAAAGACAAAATTTTTCAGCCAATCAAATATCCTGTTTTAGCTGATTGAGTGATACATAATTCAGTATAAAAAAGAATGTTTTTAACCTTAAATTGTTGTACAAATTTTTTGTTTGCTATTTTTTGTAAGCTCTCCTAAAATGAATTCTCCTAAATTGAAAATTGAATTCTCGTCTGATAGGTTTAATAGAATTTATTTAACACGATCACATTCATAATTAAAATAGGGTACTGACAAATAAAATTATTTTTAATTCAAATTGATTGAGTTTGAACTGTTTTCAACATACTTTGTCATTGTAAGGTGGCCGGGTTTTTTGCTAAGCTTACTAAAACAAAAAACGCTTTTTTGTTTGGCAAAACCCGATTCATCCTTCAAAGGAATGTTGTTGTGAAGAAGAGTGCCTTTTCCAAAAATGCTTTCATCAAGTACTTGACTGATTGATGCAGAAAAATATTTTAAAATGAAAATGGCATCATGACTGCTCGTATTGTCACAAGTTCTGCTTCTTAAAATCTGTGGAGTAGTGTTTGCTGTTTGCTCTTCAAAAAGGACAAAGTTTTCAAAAAGTCGAAAAAAAAGTTTCTGAGTTTTAGTTCCAAAGTTATTTAATGCCGTGTTGATCACGTGCTATGTATAGTGCAAAGTGATACGTTTCTCATAAAAAAAGTTATAAAAAGACTATAAAGAACCCGGATTGACATAAAATGCTTATCACACAATTCCATAGAATAAAAAAATCGTATGAAAAACACATGATAATTTTTTTTTCATACAATGGAATTGTATGATGGGCATTTTTTCCATTCAATGGAATTGTATTATAGGCATTTTTCCATTCAATGGAATTGTACGATAATGATTTTTTCCATTCAATAGAATGGTATGATAAAAGTTTTTTACGGACGAATTTTGCATAAAACTCAGTTTCTGATTGAAAAAACAAAAACATAAAATGAGGCAAAAACTGAAAATGCCCACCCCAACGTGCCAGTCTCTCAACAGAAGATAAAAACTACGGAAAACTTTAGAGGTTTAAAACTATGTAACTGTTACTCCATAGAATGCAAAACGTATGATAAACATTTTTTGTGAAAACAATTTAAAAATGGGCCAATTTGATCTAACTTAATCAGAAAACGAATCAAGTTCATTTAAACAAACCAAAAAAACTCTTTTTAAAGGTTTTTCCTGAAAAAAAAAATTCAATGAAAAAACGTTTATCATACAATTTTTATAAATGGAAACACTATGATAATCGTTTTTTCCATCGAACCCATGCATGAAATTGTATGATAAACTTTTTTTTGTATGGAATTGTATGATAAGCATGTTTTGTATGGAGGTTGACCCGGGAATGCCTCAATTCAATTTGGAATGATTTCTAAGACGGATTAAATTTTACATATCATCGCGAATACAAATTTTCGTTATTGTCGTTATTAAATATCATTCGTTATTATCGCGAATACATATTGCGCGTCAATTTTTGCAAATTGGCCATATTGGTAGACTTTATACCCCCATAACTTTGCAAAAATTTATCACAAGTGAATATTTTTTGAGCTCGGGACAACAATATCATTTGAACAATTAAAAAATCTGTCAAAAATTGCTAGTTTAAAAGTTACAATTTATCTGGAGAATAATAACCGCCCCGATAACAAATAGTCGTCACTTTCTTCGAAAGTCGGAACAAAAAACTCTGAAAAAATGAGTTTGTAAAGGTAGCCTTTTGCTCCCTTTGGAACCATTCAAAAATAGCTGAACGGAATTGAGGATGCGTACTCGGACTATTCAAGCTATTTTCTTTACTTTTGCGACTGTTTTCAGACTTTCGTTGCTATTTTTCAGTCTACCGAGACTAATTTTTGGGCAGTCACATTATTTGAAGACTATTGCTTGACGTGGTTCACAGTTGTACAGTTTCACGTATTCTTTTGCAACACAAATATTTGGACGAAAATCGAAAATCGTCTCTTTTCATGAATCTACCATTTTCAATTTGAACTTTTTAGGAAAATTTTGAATGCATTAAAACATTCAACGTTATTGAAAGCGTGGATGAAGGTCACAGACTTGGGCGTAGCGGTGTAATTTAATTAATGCTGTGTTGTTATAGAGTATGTCTGGTTCAAATACCTCAGTGGAAGCTCAGACTCCGCACAGATGCAGGATATGAGTCAGAACAGTTTGAGAGTAGTCAGGGATCATCACAGGAGCAAGAGCCAGTGTCTGGACGGGGAGGTGATTCTCAACAGAAGTGCTGCTAGCCTCGCAAACAGAAGAGTTCTACTCAACGGCGGACCAAAACAAGAGCATGACACAAGTTCTCACATCATAATAAACAACAACAATAACAATACTAGCAAACAGATCAGAGGTAGAGACTACTGCTCGGACATGCTAAGTGTTGATCCATTGTCAATGCAGTCGGAACAAATTGGTGTGACGCATTTCAATCCTAACAACAATAGCATCAACAAGAACATCAGTGGCAGCAAAAGTATTAATGTCAATAATAACAATTACAACAACAACCGGAGGAGTTCGATCAGTCCGGCTGAGAATAACCAGCCGCCCTACCTGGACTACTTGCCCCTGAAGAACTTCAATCCAAACCTCAGCCGCCCCTCTGCCGTCCCTGCTCCAGGGACACTTAGTGGTAGGGCCCTTAGGGGTCATCAGATCAACAACAACTCTTGCGCATGAACAAACTATGGCAAAAACGCTTCAAGTTATTTTTACTCAGTAGCGAATTTAGGGAAGGGGATAGCGGACGCTTCTCTCCCTCACTCTTGGATTCAACGAAAGGCGCCATGAAAGGCGCCATGTACGCCAAATTTTTGAAAGGCGCCATGTACTACCTTTGGGGGGGGGGGAAGCGCGCGCCGGAAAAAAACTCAACTTTTGGTCAAAAAGTTCCGAAAAGTGCCTAAAAAACGCTTTTTTTGGCCAGTTTTTTTTTTCAAATTTTTATTTGACAAAATTTTCGACAGTTCGTTTGAAAAACTGCCCCCGCGAGAAAACCCTAGATCCGCCCATATGCGATGCTGTATAACATTTACAATTAAAACTGAAGTTAGCGCAAAAGTTTGTAGTCCTAGACTAAAAAAATTATTTTTTGTTTTGTTTCATTGCATGGTGTTATTGTTAGAATCAAAATCAAGATATTTTTTTGCTGATGGGCAAAAACATCGAAAAAGTCTACGCGAAAAATAGTTTCAAAGTTGTCAAGGTTTTTGCAAAAAATGACATCAATTGTAGTATTTTTGTGAAAAGAATTAAATTTTGGATTTAGAAAATGCAAAAAGTTGCAAACACGGGTTAAGTTGTTCGAACTTCCGTGTTTTCGACGAAATCTGTCAAACACACGGACGTTGCTCGACGTTAAATTCATGGTCGAACGCATTTTTGAAACGTGGGCAAAAACATGGTCGAAAATACTCTAACTCTACTTCGAATCATAGACGAACACAAAGTGTGATCGAAACACAGTCTAACGTTTTCTTCGGCTAGTTGGTCAGAACATGACTAGTGTAGTGCGAGTTGGTGGAAACTTGGCTGAAATATTTTGAAAATCCCTTACCCTCCAGAGAAAATCCTAGATCCGCCCATGAGCAATGCTGTATGAAACTTGCAATTAAAGTGAAATTAGCGCAAAAATTGTAGTATTTAGCTAAACGATTCGTTTTATGTATTTTTTTCTTTGTATGGTGTTGCTGTTAAAATCATAAACACGATAGTTTTTTGCTGATGGGCAAAAGAAACCAGAAAAAATTAAGACTTAAAATAATTTCAACGTTTTAACTGGTTTCGCAAAAATCGCACATCAGTTATAGTTTTTTTGTGAAACAAATTAAATTTTGTTTTAAGAAAATGCTAAAAGTTACAAACCCAGGTTGAGTTGTTCAAACGTCTGTGTTTTCGACCCAAAATCCATGAAACATAGTCGAAAGCATGGTCGAAATTAGTAAAACACTAATTCAAATCATAGCCGAACACAATTTGATCGAAACACATTCGGACGTTTTTTTTCTCCGGCCAAGATGATTAAATTATAACCAGTTTAGTTCGAGTTGGTCGGAACTTAGCACGCTTGGGACGTGTAGAATTGGTGATTCTACTGTATTACATGCTATAGTAACCTGAGCGCTAGACTGATTTGTCATTAAGTTAAGTAGTACAGCGTACAAAGGGTAAAGTTCCAAATAGTTCAATATTCGAAGATATCGTCCCTCCTATGCCAGAAGACAAAATTTGACAACATTGGCGACCCCCCCCTCAAAATCTGAACTAAGAAAGCTAATGTTATAAAAATCAGAGGAGTGATACAAGAGATGATTTGACCCGGGCATGCAAAAATCCAGACCCTTCAGACCCCCCGGCCCAAGTGATAACGTTTCCCGAAAGTGCAAATCGCCCTATCAGAACTCGGTAACTAGCGGTTGGAATGGGCTCAAATTCTGGTATGTTGATGACCTAGTTAAGGGAAGCTTAAGTTTGGAACCACAGACCCCTAAGACCCCCCCCCCTTTCCGGTTTTATGCCCTAAGTAAACAAACCCACCCCTAACTTCCGGGAGTCGTTTTACGGACCCAACTGAACGCAGGGAGCCAAAACTTTGGGATAGCATAAGTAACAACGAGATACATCAGGTATTAAATTTCGAACCAAATCCGTCGGTTGGATCGGAAGCTATTAGCACTTGAAAAAACACCCTCTTGGCGGCATAGATATGAACCCCGAAAAAAGACCCCTTGTGAGTGAAAACCCTCCGCCGACTCCTTCCAGTGTTAATAGTATTTTTCCCGAAAAAGTGATAATGGAAATAGTATAACTTGTGAAGTATTAATGGGATATGAATGAAACTTGGTAGTTAGGACCCCCAGGAAATTCTGAGCCCAAATATGGATGTTTGACCCCGGTTGACCCCTGGGTGACCTTAAGTTGACCTTTGGCCGTCCTGACCCCAAAAATTCCAAGGAAAACTCCGAGATTAACACAGGAAAGTGGCGTATTCCCCAGCCCAACCCCTGGAAATGAGAATGGGTCACCTTGCTAGAAGTTGGGAGGAAAAATTATATATTGGGAAGTAGAGCAATAGCTGATAAAGATATATGTTTTACAATGCAACCTTGGAGTAGTAGAGTTATTTCAAAGTGGACTTGGTAAACATTGGGTTCAGTTTAGCTTGGCGAATGATCTAATAATAGCAATTCAACTAGACTAAAAAAAAGTAGTCCCAGAGGAAATTGATAGTAATAGGATAATTAGGTCTCCTAGATAGTATCAACAGACGGGAAATTTACCTGGCTCTCCGGAGGTGATTTTTGGTTTAATTTGACCCCTAATAGACGAATTACGTTCGCCTGATAGTTAGAAGATCGGGATTGGAATAGAGTACAGATAGAAAATTTAGACGCCTGAAATGAATTAGCTAATAACGAAAAGGGTCTTACCCTACCGTTGTGAGGTCGTAATGTTAACGGGATAATTAAAATAAAGACCTTGGGAGGGTCACTGAGTAAACATGGCATGCATTGGAGGTTGAGTTGAACTCGAGGGCTGAAGTCACTGAGGTCAGGAATTAGTTGATTAGAATCGTATGACATTTGTTTGCTTGGTCGGATTGTGACAGCTACTGCATACGGCGTATCTAATAAGTGTGAAAAGATTGATAAAAAAAACAAAATTGGCACGTGGCAGAGTTGACAGGGGGAGGGATATAGTCTTAAACATGTGCGGACGGTTAATTTAAAGGGATATCAGGACTGATAGGGAATGGCGTGACTTAACTGAAACTAAGTGTAAAGAAAGATAAGGAATTGGAGGGTAGCGGAGAGCCTTTAAGAGTCAGAACAGTGTTAGCTACTATTAAGGGTAGTTGGTTCTCGTCAGAGAAGAGAGTAATTGATACTGAGAGAGAGTATAGTTGTTTCTCCGTTAGTTAGAGAGAACAATTATTCCTAGTTAGTCAGGTAATTGGTTCTCGGAGTAAGAGACCAGTAGATAGTTGGTTCTCATCAGACATTCTCTAGAGAGAGAGAGAATAGTAAGTGTTAGTAGAAATAGTTGGAAGTTAATTGCAATTAGGCAATTTGTCCGATAAATCGCGGACCCTTTCCTTTTGACTTGATTATTAAATTATATCCTGGCCACTCAGAGCCTTCTGTAATTGGACATATAATCATCTAAATTAGTTTATCATTGGAAATTCTTGCGATTGTATTGAGTAGACGAGACAAGACAACCGAAAAGCAATACACAGAGGGGCAAGCAGTATAATACAATACAGAATAGTTGCCACCAAAGTAACCCTTTCGGGATTGTAGATAGTAGTGAAGCTCGGTCGCCCCACTGAATTCACTGCCCAAAGGACGACTTTGCGGTGGCGTTAGGAAAGAGAGAACGAACCTAGAAAAGAAATCCCCTAAATCTACTGGACGTTTGAGTAGAACTCAGTCAAACACGTTTTTCCTTCAGCCGAGTTATATTAGTGTGGGTTGAGTAGTTAGTGTGGGCTGAGTTGGTCAAAACATCTCAGTCAAGCATCACACATCAGTCAAACATCTTATCTTCGAGAGATGAATGAACATTACTGGACTAGAATTTTGAAAGAAAAGGCTCTAAAATGTCAACAAAATCAACTCCTAAAATAAATTGAGCAGCCTGCTAAAAAAGAACAAGCGTTAAATTTTGTTTTATGAAAGAAATGCGAGTTGGTAACTGTCTTGAAACGGATAAGGGAAATTTTAATCAGGAAAATTTCATCAGAAGCGATAAATCAGGTGCAGGCAAAGGAAAAGTTGTGCACACAAGCATAGTTTTATTACAAAGATAGAGCAAAAAATTTCTGATGTAAACACCAATATTAAACTAAACTGCATCTGATAATCGAAATGCTTTTTGTTTATCAGGAAAAACGAATGATGAAATGAACTAAACAAACGCCCTGTCAGGTTGCCCGCACTGACAAAAATGGATTTCGATCGATTTTAGTATGAAAAAAGTATGCAGATTAGATTGAAATCGATTTAAGTTGTAAAAAAGTAAGTTAGTCAAAACAAAAAATTCAGATCGATTTGGATCGATTTTAAATCGATTTAAATCGATTTAATTTCAACGCTAAAAAAATCGATTCCAGTCGATTTTAAATCGATTTGAATGGATCTTAAATCTGACCCAAAATGAAATCGATCCAAATCAATTTTAAATCGATTTAAATCGATTTTTTTCCACTTCTTTTTTTTCTTCAAATTTTCGAATGACAGAAAAAAGAATAAAAGTTTTTGTCACGTGTCGTTACAAATACCAAAGTTGACTAAAATGCTTGCAATGCTAAAATAATGCTTGTAAACTTGACTAAGATTCTTGTAAAATGCCTCCCCCTTCCCCCCCCCCCCCCCGAGGATACAGAGACTCTCGCTACGCCACGGAGAGAATCTCCGGTTAAATCTGCCTAGTTTTTAGGTAATTAATTTTTTAGGGAAAAATTGGTTTTTTTTGAAAAATCGTGTTTCGTCCCACGGCTTTGCTTATTTTTCCTCTGTCTCGAAGAACTATTCTTAAAATGTTTGTTGCTATCTGTAGCCCAAAATCGTATTTGATATTGATATAAGGGCCATTGGTTAAATCTTCCTAGTTTTTAGGTAATTAATTTTTTAGTGAAAAATTGTTTTTTTTTTTTGAAAAATCGTGGCTCGTCCCACTGCTTTGCTTATTTCTCCTCTGTCTCGAAGAACTATTCAAAAATGTTTATTGCTATCTGTAGCCCAATATCATAGCTTGATTTTGATATAATGGCCACTGGTTATTTCATCCTCG